CCAGCAAACATCTGGGAAAGTTTACTGCGTGCTTCTACCACCAGAGCTCCACTCTAAAACTCATGGCAGACTGTTTTACCAAGCGCACGGTGTGCTCGTAGACAGTCTTCCGCCACCAACACATAATAAATGTATACGTTATTTTGTAATGGTACAGAATAACAACTTCTGACCTAGCAGGAAGAACTATTGAAGCTGCCATTGATTGTATACATATACATTCACTTTCAGGCTGGTTTCTTGAAAATCCAAGACACAGGACTCATCCTACAAATAAGCTCACAAATAACCCTACTCCATGAATGTGGCGGCAAACCAATCACTAAAAAGAAAAAATCTATATGCTGATAGCATTGGTGTCACTAAAAATTCTTTCAAAGAGTGCCACCCCACTCCCACACACAAAATCACTTAAATAACTCAATGGCGTTTGAGTTCAGAATAGGAGGCCCCAGCATCTCACAACTGCTGTACCACTGCAACATGGGTTTGGATGCACTTAACTAGAAATTCCTGACATAAGAGACTTGGCGAAAGCCTTTGGCAATTGTGACAATGATGTAATAGCTCTCATAAAGCATATGAAAGTAACAGCCAGAAAGATGTGAAATTCTCAAAGAAATTTGACCCAAAGAGCTATAGTCAAAGAAAAATCAGAAGCTTACACAGGGGAAAAAACTCTATTTCTCATATATGACACAGACGAAGACATAAATCAGAGCACTGGGGTATCCTTCACGGACGACATTAGAATTTGTATAAGATATCCAGTGAGGAAAAAATCCGAGCCAGTGTTAAGCAAGGCTTCTGATAAAATAAAACCTGGAACAGAGTACAAAACGCAATAAAGGCATCCAATAAAGCGGCAGCGAAGTGTAAAGGACCTGGAGGTAACAATGTAGGAAGATCTTACATTCAGGGAACACAAAAGTGTTACTTATAAATACATGGAAAATACTTGAGGGTAAGGTCCCCAGTGTGCGCTACCATAACAGCTTATTGGAGCGTGAGATACTACAGGAAGTGTATAATATGGTGAAAAGCTTGGATGCCATAGTATACACATCTAGAGAACACAGTAAACATCCTTAACTCAGGGTTTCAACCTGCTACCAGCAGGTATTAGAAATGTTGCAGGAACAAAGGCAGTAGTTGTTAAGAGGAAGTTTGACCATTGTCATGAACCGGATCAGCCAAGATGCGGTATGAAAAATGGTATGATGATACCGACAAGATGTGGAGAAAGACACTTAAGTACAATTTAGGACATTTATTAAAAGAAACGTTTCTCTACGAGTGGCTTCAGACTGAAGAAGCCACTCATGGCGAAACGTTTCCTTTGATAAATCTCCTGAACTGTACATAAGTGTCTCTTTCCACATAATGTGACATCTGTTTGAACCAGCGAAACGCTAACAGCAACAACATAGCAGTCATCTAGGAAGGCTGGTCTGAGGCGGGGTATGAGGTGCAGTACAGGTATCGTTCACAGGTGATAGACTGGATGGCAATACTCTTTCAAACAAGCGATGCAAAGCCAATGCCGAACACTTGAACTCTCGTCTAGAGTACTCTAGAGTCTATACTGACACCTCCACATAACGTAGCCTAAATTCATGATCTAGAGAATGTATAGGAATTTTACTTATATATATGTCGTGCCGAATAGGTAAAATTGGTCAGTTAGCAAGGACTCGTTTAAAATTAAGTCCTTTCTAAAATTTTCTATTATACGTTTAAAGATATATTTGTTTCGTTGATGTTAATGTAAAGATTAATAATTCTGTACCAAAAGAACTTTAGAAAACTTACCTAACCTTATTATAACTTAGTTTAATTTAGCCTAATCCATCTAAATATATTTTAGATAAGTTTACAATAATTTAATAAACAAGTAAAATATATTTTTTCGTTAGGTTCAGAATGATTTTTTGCGAAATTATTGCATACACAAATTTTTGCTTGTCTTATTCAGCAAGAAGAGCATTGCTGTTTAATCTAAAATTGCAAGTTTTACCTATTCGGCACGACCGACACACACACACACACACACACACAACACACACACACACACACACACACACACACACACACACACACACACACACACACACACACACACACACACACACACACACACACACACACACACACACACACACACAACACACACACACACACACACACACACACACACACACACACACACACACACCGCACACACACACACACACACACACACACACACACCACACACACACCACACACACACCCACACACACACACACACACACACACACACACCACACACACACACACACACACACCACACACACAACACGCACACACACACACACACACAACACAAAACACACACCACACACACACACACACACACACACACACACCAAACACACACACCACACACACCACACACACACACGCGCACACACACACACACACACACACACACACACACCACACACACACACGCACACACACACACACACACACACACACACACACACACACACACACACACACACACACACACACACACACAGTATAAACATATGACTCACAAGAGCACGTTATCTTGAGGATGCGATATATAACCACAATAAAAGAACAATAAAACACCGTGTTTTACTCTACCTTTGTCCGTCTCTGTATTAAAACTCGGCGTTTTTTCCTCCTTTAGTCTTCATTAAAACGATTTGCGACAATTAATGTGCAAAATAATATTTTTCACACCGGCCGCAATTTAATCCCGCTTGTTTTAAAACTGTAATATGTTTTTGTGGGTGGGTGGGTGGTTTGTGGGCGGTGGGCGGGCCGCTCCGACCTCGCCCAAGTGACCCAATTAAAAACAACACTTTTGGCAAGGAAGGGATTGCTATTTCACGGAGCGCTAAATCCGTATGGGTTATTCGCCGGTTTATACCCACATCCTGATCAGCCAGGCTGTTGGTAATCACGCTGGTAATGCATGAAAATCTTTAAAAACTAATTCGAAAATGGTTTAATGGTTGTATGATTGCTAATGGGGTGATTTAACTGGATGTGATAGTGAAGAATAGTGTCACAATATCGTGGCTGGAAGAAGTCACCAACAACACGTACTTAGGATCTTATGACGACGTTTTGGTCCATCCTGGACCATTATTACGTCAACTGGTCCCAGGTATGACTTGACTGGTCCAGGACCGATCGAAAAGTCATCATTAGATTCCTCTCTTAGATTCGGTTTTTTTAATGACGATGTGGTAGTATTTATTGCATCTCGTTATTGCGGCATCTGGTTTAATTACCTATTAGTAGTTACCTGTTAATAGTTACCTGTAAATAGTTGCCTGTTAGTAGTTACCTGTTAGTAGTTACCTGTTAATAGTTACCTGTAAATAGTTGCCTGTTAGTAGTTACCTGTTAGTAGTTACCTGTTAATAGTTACCTGTTAATAGTTACCTGTAAATAGTTGCCTGTTAGTAGTTACCTGTTAGTAGTTACCTGTTAATAGTTACCTGTTAATAGTTACCTGTTAGTAGTTACCTGTTAGTAGTTACCTGTTAATAGTTACCTGTTAATAGTTACCTCTTAGTAGTTACCTGTTAATAGTTACCTTTTAGTAGTTACCTGTTAATAGGTACCTGTTAGTAGTTAAGGGAGCAGAGCTATGCCGGTGGCGTCCTTAGTAGGTTTCTGCTGAAAATAAAAATCTCTCGGGTGCAGAAGTGTCTGCGTCTTAGGGTCGCTAGTGTAACTTTCCTTGCGTCCACAGCCCATGGCTTCTTTCCCTTGTCCTCAGTGCCAAAGTTATCAATTTCTGTTAATTCATCCTATCCTCATTACGCATTCTACTCGGGTGGCGGACTAGTCTAGTTTGAATCTGGTCGCGTTCCTGTACAAGTTGATGTGTGTGTGTGTGTGTGTGTGTGTGTGTGTGTGTGTGTGTGTGTGTGTGTGTGTGTGTATGTGTATGTGTGTGTGTGTGTGTGTGTGTACGTGTATGTGTGTGTGTGTGTGTGTGTGTGTGTACGTATTAGCCTATATGTGGTTGCAGGAATCGATTCACAGCTCACACACACCACACACACACACCACACACACACACCAACTTGTACAGGAACGCGACCAGATTCAAACTAGACTAGTCCGCCACCCGAGTAGAATGCGTAATGAGGATAGGATGAATTAACAGAAATTGATAACTTTGGCACTGAGGACAAGGGAAAGAAGCCATGGGCTGTGGACGCAAGGTTAGGCAAAGCCATTAAAGCCAGGAAAAGGCACAGACTCAACCGCAGGAACGAGGCGTGGGAGTGCATGGAGGCGTTAGCCGAGACAGGTGCGCGAAAGGTAGAAGCAGAAGCAGCAACAGTAGCAGTAGCAACAGGGAGAAAAGATGGGAGCGGAAGAGAGGAGGAGGAGGACGAGAAAGATCAGGAGCAGGAGGCTCAAGATCAGGAGCAGGAGGCTCAAGAGGAGGACGAGGAGGAGAATCAGGAAGCAGCAGGCGCCACACAGCGCCACAGCAATTAATTAGCAATAATTGCCGTGCCGTGGCTTTAAATAGGCTATAATGACCATTGTAAAGCCGTTGATCATCCTGAATTGTGATTTTCAGCCCTGGCCGATTACACAGATTTTGCCGACGTATTTAAACCGCTAAGCAAGAAATATTTCCCAAAGATGAATAGTTCAAAGATTTTAATCTTTTAATAATCACGAGAACTCCTAAACCCGAGTCACCTTATTAAGTACATAATTCTAATTAATATGGCAGCTATTTTGCTGTGTCCTAAGATGCGTAATTGTACCGGGAAGGAAGATGGAAGAAGGAAATTGGAAGAAAGAAGCTGGAAGTAGAAAGGAGGACGACCTGGAAGCTGGAATAAAATAAAATAAAAAAAAGATGGAAGAAAGCATCAACGGTCTGCCCGATCAGTTTAGCAAATAATCCCCCCCCCCCCAAAAAAAAAAAAAAAATCTATATATATATAAAAAAAATACAGGAGGAGGCCTACCTGAAGGTTATTCCGGGGATCAACGCCCCCGCGGCCCGGTCCATGACCAGGCCTCCCGATGGATCAGGGCCTGATCAACTAGGCTGTTACTGCTGGCCGCACGCAGTCCAACGTACGAGCCACAGCCCGGCTGATCCGGCACTGACTTTAGGTATCTCTGCCAGCTCTCTCTTGAAGGCAGCCAGGGGTTTATTGGCCTACACATGGAGATTTTACACGCAGTGTAGGCCTAGGACACAACCTTCCACACACACTGAAGCACATTGGTCCCCACTGGAACACAACGGTTCACACACTGGAACACGCCGGTACAAGAGTCAGTGGGGTGAAGACTTACGGTAATCATTGATGTGGAGTCCCGCTGACACTGGCTATGATCTTGCTGACTGTCAGCTACTGACAGTCTCACGGCTTCCAGTTCTTTGGTTAAGGACCCAATCTTCTCATCTTTGTCTGCGAGTGTATTATAGTGATTGTGAAGTTCTCTCTCTCTCTCCTCCGTTAGCGACCGGTAACGCTTCAGCTGATTATACAGATCATTTGCTTCTTTCTTGAACTTAGTGACTGCTCGAAGCCACTGACGTTCCCGCATGTGATGATTAGCGCGAGTTTTGTCTAGTTCGTTATACTTTTCTTTCTTGCTCTTGAGTACTGCTAGATACTCCTTCTCCTCGCGATCTTTCTCATCTAACATTTTCTGTAGGTTCTCCAGATTATGCTCCATTAGATTGTTACTATGACTGAGTGTTTCGTGTTTACGTGAAGCCTTGTCGTACACCTTACGCTCCTTCTTGTGTTCCTTGAGAAGGACGTCATATCTGTACACAGCTTGATTGCGAGGCTCAGCCAGTTTGAAATTTTCCTTCTTTCTTTCTTCTGCGATTCGCTTAACATTTCGATGTTCGTTTTTAAGCTCATTATGATCACCGCGGAGCGCCTCAAACTGACTGTGTTTCTCGTTCAATTTCTTTTCTAAATCTTTAATTTTTTCCTCCAGTTCATTGTTTAAACTTCGGTGTTTGTCACTGTGTTCGACAATGTTTCTGTTTCGACGGAGATGTTTTTTGTACTTTTCTTTAAGTTCCTTCTTCTGTTTCCTTTCCTTTTTGTGCGACTGAAGGAGCTCTTGATAAGCTTTCAGCTGCCGTTCATGCTCTTCTTGTAAGTTATTATAATTGTTTTCAACCTCGTTACGAGCCTTTACCAAATTAGAGGTTTTTCGGTCCCATTTCTTCACTCGAGCATTCGCTTTGCCATGCTCGCGTTTGAGGCTCTCATGGGTTTCTTGGAGAGTTTTCAGCTCAAGAGCTTTAGCATCAGCTAGAGCTCTCAGCTCCTCAGTCTTCCTGTGTTCCTGTTGCAAGAGCAGAGCAGCCTCGGGTACTGCATGAGAACACTCCTGAGAGATACTCTCCATATCCTTGTATTCCTCTTTAGACTGACGTTCCTGGCGCCGGGACTCTTCAAGGAGGACCTGCAAGTTGTACAGTTGATCCTTGAGGGCGCCGTGATTGACCTTAGCACCGTGCTGTCGAGGGTGAGCGAAGTCCTCGGCATCGTGCTGTCGCGGGTGACCTCCTTCAGCACCGTCATGTTGCGGGTGACCTCCTTCAGCACCGTCATATCGCGGGTGACCTCCTTCAGCACCGTCATATCGCGGGTGACCTCCTTCAGGAAGGTCTTCACGAGTTACTTCAACGTCAGGACCGTCTGCCTGACGTCTCATTATCTCAGCCTCCAGGAGGCCATAATAGTCCGTGTGCTGGAGGTCAGCTCGAGCTCTTGTCCTTGCCTTCAACAAGGACGTCACTACGTCTGTGGCCCCGAGACCGTCCTTGATGGCGTCTCTTACCAGTCTCAGCGACTGGCAGGACACATGTTAGTAAAATACAACAAATTATAATAATTTTTAAATTCATTTTTCTTAATTGAGATACATAACACACAGTATAAAAACATCAACTACAGTGACTGAAGCTGAACACAGATGATGTTTCGCCACTATACAGAACACAACATAAAAACATCAACTACAGTGACTGAAGCTGAACACAGATGATGTTTCGCCACTATACAGAACACAATATAAAAACATCAACTTCAGTGACTGAAGCTGAACACAGATGATGTTTCGCCACTATACAGAACACAATATAAAAACATTAACTACAGTGACTGAAGCTGAACACAGATGATGTTTCGCCACTATACAGAACACAATATAAAAACATCAACTACAGTGACTGAAGCTGAACACAGATGATGTTTCGCCACTATACAGAACACAATATAAAAAACATTAACTACAGTGACTGAAGCTGAACACAGATGATGTTTCGCCACTATACAGAACACAATATAAAAACATTAACTACAGTGACAGAAGCTGAACACAGATGATGTTTCGCCACTATACAAAACACAAAATAAAAACATCAACTACAGTGACTGAAGGAACACGGATGATGTTTCGCCCATACAAACATTTTCTTGTAGTCAATACAATACTTGAACAACTGTACTTCAAGACTATCTGTCTTTATCTATCTATATCTCCATCAATCCCATCTATATCTTCATCTATCTCCTTATTTGTTTTCATCTCTCTTCTTATCTACCTGTGTCTCCATCTCTCTTTTTTATGTACTTGTGTCTCCGTCTATCGTGTTATCGTAGCTGTGTCTCCATCTTTCTTATCTATGTCTCCATCTATCTTATCTATGTCTCCATCTATCGTCTTGTCTACCTGTGTTTATATCTCTCTTATCTACCTGTATCACCACTGAGCTACCTATCACCTTCACAAGATCATCTCAAGAGTTTTCTTTCTCATTATTATTTTAAAATTATTTTAATTGTTAATTATACTATTATTATGATTGTGATTAGTTTTTATTTTTTTTTCAACAAGTCGACCGTCTCCCACCGAGGCAGGGTGACCCAAAAAAGAAAGAAAATCCCCTAAAAGAAAATGCTTTCATCATCATTCAAGACTTTCACCACACTCACACATTATCACTGTTTTTGCAGAGGTGCTCAGAATACAACAGTTTAGAAGCATATACGTATAAAGATACACAATATATCCCTCCAAACTGCCAATATCCCAAACCTCTCCTTTAAAGTGCAGGCATTGTACTTCCCATTTCCAGGACTCAAGTCCGACTATATGAAAATAACCGGTTTCCCTGAATCCCTTCACTAAATATTACCCTGCTCACACTCCAACAGACCGTCAGGTCCCAAGTATCATTCGTCTCCATTCACTCCTATCTAACACGCTCACGCACGCTTGCTGGAAGTCCAAGCCCCTCGCCCACAAAACCTCCTTTACCCCTCTCTCTCCAACCCTTTCGAGGACGACCCTACCCCTCCTTCCTTCCCCTATAGATTTATATGCTTTCCATGTCATTCTACTTTGATCCATTCTCTCTAAATGACCAAACCCTCAACAACCCATCTTCAGCCCTCTGGACTAATACTTTTTATTAATCCACACTTCTCCTAATTTCCACACTCGAATTTTCTGGCATAATATTTACACACACATTGCCTTAGACAGGACATCTCACTGCTCCAACCGTCTCTCGCTGCTGCATTACTACCAAGCTTCACATCCATATAAGAGTGTTGGTACTACTATACTTCATACATTCCCTTCTTTGCCTCCATAGATAACGTTTTTTGTCTCCACATATACCTCAACGCACCACTCACCTTTTTTCCTCATCAATTCTATGATTAACTCATCCTTCATAAATCATCGCCGACACGTCAATCCAAGTATCTGAAACATTCACTTCTTCCATACTCCTCCTCCCCAATTTGATATCCAATTTTTCTTTATCTAAATCATTTGTTTATATTAATTTATTATTAATAATATAATTATTATAATTAGTTTTTAATAATTTTTCTTCTTCTTCTTCTTCTTCTTCTTCTTCTTCTTCTTCTTCTTCTTCTTCTTCTTCTTCTTATTATTATTATTATTATTATTATTATTATTATTATTATTATTATTATTATTATTATTATCACTGAAGGAAGATCATTAAGATGTTGCCAGAATTTTTTTTTCCCTTCAAATTTTCGTTCTCATTTCTTCCATGACTCGAGAACGCCTCGTCCGATCGAGTTCACGTTTTCAACACTTGTGTAGGGTAACTAGTGCCAGGTTTTTGGCACAACTGGTACGTGTAGGTGCCCTGTAACCCAGGTCATTGAAGTTGTCATTCCCATCATTCTGGGATGACTCTCGTGATGCTGCTTCTGGGATAATTGAGGTACAGTGAACTGTGTTATGTAATTCTAGGATGATTGAGGTACAGTGGACTGATGTCGTGTAATTCTGGGATGATTGAGGTACAGTGGACTGGTGTTATGTAATTCTGGGATGATGCCGCACTTGAAATGCCCAGGAAGCAAGCAACTAGCATCACCAGCCTGGTTGATCAGGCAATCACCAGACGAGCCTGGCCCATGGCCGGGCTCCGGGAGTAGAAAGACTCTTGGAACTCATCAAAGTTAAACTACTGCCACCTCCTTCTACGGCTGCTGACACCACCTGTTACAGCTGCTGCCATCTCCTGCTACAGCACCTGTCATCTCCTGCTACAGCTGCTACCACCTGCTACGGCTACTGACACCTCCTGTTACAACTGCTGTCAGCTCCTGCTACAGCAGCTGCCATCTGCTACAGCTGCTGCCACCTGCTACGGCTACTGACACCTCCTGTTACAGCTGCTGACACCTACTACGGCATCTGCCACCTCCTGCTACAGTTGCTGCCACCTCCTGCTACGGCAGCTGCCATCTCCTGCTACAGCAGTTGCCACCTTCTGCTACAGCATCTACCACCTGCTACGGCAGCTGCCACCTCCTGCTACGGCAGCTGCTACCTCCTGCTACGGCAGCTGCCACCTCCTGCTGCAGCTGCTGCCACCTCCTGCTACAGCTGCCATCTCCTGCTACAGCTGCCATCTCCTGCTACAGCAGCTGCCACCTCCTGCTACGGCAGCTGCCACCACCTGCTACAGCAGCTGCCACCTCCTGCTACGGCAGCTGCCACCTCCTGCTACAGCTGCTACCACCTCCTGCTACAGCTGCTTCCACCTCCTGCTACAGCTGCTTCCACCTCCTGCTACAGCAGGAAAGCTTCTCATTGTCCCTCGTTATTTAATTTCAAGGTTCACTATGGCCAACTTTTGGAGCAGGTGACTCTGTTAAAACACTTCCTTGAATAATTAGCATACATTTCCCAGTGTTCCTGGCTCCACAATACGGTGTTTCTTTAATATAAGTCTTGTACCACCAGTCTACACTGCTAGTCACGGCATTATGCAGGGTGAGCGCCCCGGCATAATGCTTAATATATATATATATATATATATATATATATATATATTATATATATATATATTATAGACAATACATTTACAGAAAACACAAACATTAATACAATGGTACAATATATTAAATATTATTAATTTCCTCCAGCTCCTCCAAAGCCGGATGCGAGCCAAGTATGCAGCAAGCATTTCCCCTCTGAATGGCCACGCTGAGGCGCTGGTACATGAAAGTGGCAGGCCTTCGGTCCCTGGTAGTGTCGATGGGTCTGGAACCCAATTCTTTAAGAAAACGTGTGGCATTTTTTCCCCATGATCCCAAGGTCTCTGATCCCACTGGGACAAATTGATGCTGTTGGCTTATGTCCCTGTACTTGCTGATCTTGTAATCCTCCCTGTGGTCAGCAGCTCCTCCCTGTCACCCGACACTGTGCTGGATATAGGTGTCAGCCAGTGTGGAGACACAGGTATAGTCCCATGCCAAGAGCTTGCCATTCTTCCAAGGATAGATGGTGATCCCATCGGGGCGGTTTGCTGGGTTGTGGGTATTGTTGGCTGCTAGTGATCGGGGCTCCCTCTCGGCTGGGCGTCCAGCTGTAGCAAGGGCTCTCTTTATGATGTCGTTGACCTCATTGTGTCTTGCATGGCAGCCCTTGGTTTTGGAACAGTTAAGACCATGTAGACCATATTGGTCAGCTTGCACTTCGCCGCAAATACACATATATTCCGTGTGAATTGGGGCAGCAAGGCGCAGAGCCACTGCAGTACGGAGGGTCTTAGGGTCGAGGCGCGTTCCCATTGCCGATATGAGAATTGTTTGGAGGAAGTCCCCGGAGTGAGGTATGCTCACAGCCTGGAGACGGGCAATCTCCCTATCTGATGTTGCAGCCCTGAGCATGTTGGCAAGCACCTTTTCAGCGATCGGGCCATCCCAGCTTGACTGAGCCAGTGCTGCACTTGGGTTTGGTGCTGGAGCAGCAAGAGTCTCCCATTCAGTGATGGTACTGGCATAGCTAGGGTCCTGTATTCCTGCTGTGTCACTGAGATTATCAGGAAGAATTTGTCTTATTAACTCGTTTGATGCTTGCAACCACTGTCCATCTTCAAGGGAAAGATTCAATGCACTCTCTAGCATGGTCTTAAGGAGAGAGTCATATTCCTTGAGTTTTGGACTGCTGAAGGCTGGGGAGCATCTCAGAAAGTAGGTAAGTTTTGGAATTGACAGGCACCTGGTGAGTAGGTATTAGGCATCATGTGTATCAGTGTCTTTCATCCTGCTTTCCATCGTCCGGAGGTCTGAGGCTTTTATTTCTAGGATCAGATCGATGGCATTGGATCCAAGAGGAGCGCCAAGGAGAGTGCTATTGGCTGGATCAATGGCTCGTGCTCCTGGTAAAACAGCACTAATATTCTGGATCATCTGTCGATTGGTAGAAACGATTTCACACTTGGTGGGGTTTAAAGATAGGCCCAGGCTTTCTCCCATTTTTTTAATTTTACTGATGTCCTCTAGGAGAGATTCTGTTGTGCCAGCTAGGGTACCATCATCCAAGAACCAGATATTGAGCTCACTGGAGAGTGCTTCTGTGACT